TCAGATAAAAACAACGTTTCGATATACGGCACACGTACATTAATTTACCTATATAACAAGGATACATATCGCATTGTTATCCCGTATCGTTACCGTCTCTAATTATAGCCGTGCGCAACTGTACTGTGATAAAAACCGCGTCTCTCGTTCCATCAAAATGTCATAATCGCGCAAAAAGAAGCCACGAAGCTCTCTGCGTCACCGTCGTCGATGATTCGAGGCTACTTGATGTCTAGCGTTAATTCTTTCCCCGCGACATATATTATCGCAAACTTACGAATTTCCGTTGGATTCTGCTTTAACAATCGCGTCTTGCGAAACGCATGCAGGATCATACGCTCGGATTATATGCACGTCTTACCAATCAAACAGCTAATTACGAGATTACCGAGCGATGCGTCTCGATACAACTACAATCCATATATATATATATATATATATATATATATATACATATATATACATATATATATACATATATATATATATACATACATATATATATATATTTATTTATTTATTTATTTATATTTTTATTTATCATTTTATGCGTACGTATATATATATTTACTGAATACAGTTCCTGTGTCTTCCTCATGATAGTGAGAAAATATGAAAATAACCGGTGAGAAAATATTAGAAGTTTTCAAAAAAATTTGTGAAAGAAAATGTTTAAGTAACATCTACAATAATTATGGAAGTTAGTTTAGTAAATTACGGTTTTATAGTACATAACGTTTTATACTGCATATTGAAATTCGATATACTGGTCAAAAATACATCAAGAGAATAGTTACGGACCGAGTAAAGTTACATCAAAAGAGGGTTGATTCCATTCAAAGATGGTGGATCGAGATATTTCTGAGAATCATGTGTTACCGAGGAAATTTATGGAGATTCATGTCAGAATAATTTCGTTGAATCCGAATATCGTAAGTATTCACCGATGTATCTTTATTCAAGATATATATCCACGGCTCCTTTATAATCTAACACTCCCCTTCGATTAGTAGAAAAGAAGAGGCGGACACGTCAGGTAAAGATTCTCAGTGACGTGACCTGAATTTACAGCGACAAATCTCGGTATTTTTGCCGCGGATTACTCCGTTTCTCAAAAATATTCAACGCTAAGTCTTTTTCAATATATATACGTGCAATAAATATCCTCTAAAGCAGTCAAAACGCGAGAAGCCCCGTATAGGAGAACTAATTTGTAGGAGAAGAACGACACGATTTACAGGGTGACACATGAGCGCCAATCAGTCGAGAAAGCCTAAACGTACTCACCGCAAGTATACTTACACGACATACTATATATTCTCATATGTATATATATATATATATATATATATATATTATTCATATTATATATATATCTTTTCTTTGCGCTTTCTCTCTTTGTATAAGTTTAGTTTTAGTACGAAAATAATTTTAAGCGCGGCTCGTCTCGTCGCACTCGTCCATCACTTGTCCGGAGACGGCGTACCGGAAACTGGTAACCGCGCGCGCACCGACCGTCTCCGGTTCGATCACCGACCAATAAACACTAGAACTGGAAGCCCCGTTCCCGCGACGTGAGAATCACCTTCTGATGGCCGGAAGCAGCAACGACAGGAGGCTGAGAGAGAGATGAAGAACAAACTGCGCCCGATGGGACACGCCCGGACTCTGGACGTCCGGCACCTCGCCCGGTGGCCTCATTGACGCCGGACCGTAATCCCGACCGTAGTCTGAAAACAGACAAAACAACGCTGCGGTTGTTCCACTACGAATACAATAGAATGATTACGCGAATGAAGTGCAAGGGTTCTGTTCAAATGATCTCTAATTCAATCGCGATAACTAAGAACGAAAAGAAATTAGAGAAAATAATCGAGCTATGAGACGTTTCTCATATTAGATGTTGACTTATATAATATATGAAATATGTTTTTGATCAAGTTCTAGCGTTTATTAGTCGATCATCGGACTGTAAACTGATATGATTACGGATATTTCAAGATAATACTATCATAAGCTTAACATAATTCTGTGGATAGATTTTACGTGTATGTATATGCATTTTCAATGGTGTATAAATACAAACATTATTAATTATTATACATTTTAATTTTTTTACTCCCGAGAAGTTTGAATCACATTTCGATGTTTTATAAAAATTGCATTTCTATTTCATATTTCAATGTTTCCTGACAAGTTATAATTGATTTATTACTTCTAATATATCAATGATTCAATAGAGACGAGTGTGACTTGTTTTTTTGATATCAAATTTTATATTTTATGAAGTGAAAAAGAGAAAGTATTTGCATTAGTAATACAATTTTTTTTTATTGAGGAGAAATAAATTTTTTATATATATACGTACATACATATATAAATTTTATTTTCTTATTATTAAGAATTGATTATTATTTTTATTTGCCAGTGAACATAAATCCTGAACATATAATAACGTATAAGAATCCATCTACCGCGGGTGATTATAACAAAGTATTATATCTGTAACAAAAAAGAATGTAATCTTGTATAATAAAGGCAGAGGACGCTGTGCTGGTAATAAAAGAGAAGCTTATTCATTGAAGGCTAATATTCTTTCTCTCCGGTTAATGAGACTGGCCGCAGGGCGGACGACCGCACCACCGGAATACCGTCCCAACTTTGTATCATTGACCGCGAACATCACCACCGTCGACACCACGTTTCGAACTTCTTGGCCTTATTTTCATCTAACGCCCCGCCATAACCGTCGTTTACTAGCCGCGACGTCCGGAACAAATAGTTGGTAGCGCTTGAGCATACGCGAAAATCGTCAAGCTCGGCGACTCATTTCCTCGGTGGTCTCGCTCTCGGCCTTGCCAGTATACATGCACGTACGGTAACGAGCAGATACGGAAGATAAATACGAGGAGTTGTTGCGGATAATGCGAAACGAGAGGGGAAGCTGGGCATCCTCTCCCTCTCGTCGCTTGCGCGCGTCCGGGAATTAAATTCGAGCGAACTCTCGGTTCTACCGGAATTTCTGCGATGTTCAACTCGCGCACAAATCCCTTTTTAACGAGATAAAACCCTCGGCGATGAGGAGCGGCGGGCGCAGGAGAACGCGGAAAGGGTAAATTCATTTGAGATTAAATATATCCGACGTCTGTTAAATCGGCTCTTATCAGCCGTTACCGTCAAAGAAACGCCGGATGAAATGTTACTGGATTAATTGTGGCGCCACAGTAATTCACAGATGTGCCTTGCGAGCTTTTTCATTTGTTATGTGGCGAGAAGAGCGATGAGACACCGGTGAGATACGTAGAGTCAAGAGTTGCTACGCGAAGCGAGTCATGATGTATTGAACTTCCGGAACTTAACAACACTTGAATGTCTTGAACCTTAATAAGATTTTTTAAAACAAATTTCTATCTAGTGCGCAAAAGAAAGTAATCTTCAACGTCGCTTTAGAAGATAATTGCATATCTTATATACAATATATAACTGTATATTATTATATAACATGTTTAATAATCGTGACAATAATAAGAAGATAAAAAAATTTAATATAGACATTTTTATAATAATTTAAGTAATTAATCTAGAAAAATTACGAATAAATTTCGTATGAATAAATTTCGGCATTTACTTATATTTGACACATGAAGTAGACCGAATAATATGCAAACGCGTCAGCAATTCCAGAAAAAGCTCCATTTTATTCGATTAAATTCACATCTCCTGACGGTAACTTTTATTGATTGTCTGAACTTTGATAAATGAATTGAAGTCGAATCAATATCGCCACCTGTGGCACTAATGTATAGTTAGTAATGTTGTAGAAACGAATATATCAATGACGGTAGACTATACATCAGAATGTACGATTATTACCGCGATAAAATTTCACCTCGATTTACCTTAATGACTTCCACCCACGGCATTATCAAATAATTTAGGATCTGTTCCTTTGTAAGTGAGTTGCATTTATTAGTAATGATAACTATCTAGATAAAGCAAAACTTTTACTCTTTTTATTAGTTTTAATAAAATTTAAAGAATTACATATTAATGATAATCGTTATAATAACTTGTCCAATAATGGAGACAAAATGACATAACACTTTAGAAAAAATATGTGTAAATTAATAATTAAAAATTTGATTTTAAATATTATAGTAATTAATTAATATTTAGTCCAAAGTCATTATTATCTGTTCGTGTTGAGTAGAGTATTTCGTGTTAAGTAGAGTATTTTAAGTAGAATATTTCTCGTAAAATTTTTTCCAATTTTTAGCAATCAACCCAGCGATAGGACGTTTAGAACGATATTAACAAAATTTGTTCTCTCCAAAAAGCCGGAATGTAACGACTCGAGAAAATGTCCGTTTTTGCCTTTTTCCTAGAATTCGCGGATAGTCGTCCCAAATGCAGGGCGTTTCTCGAGAGTAGTTCATCGTGCACCTTGGCTTGCCCGCCAGAAATGGACGTCGAAACCGCACGTTCGTTCGGAAAAAGTTATTCCCACCTACCAGTAAAATCCACTGTACGTGACTTTCCACATAGTCTGCGACAGACGAACCATTTTCCAACACTTTAACAACTTCTTTAACAACTTCAGTCTGTACATTTAGCGTTATTATTGATTATATTTCGGTAGTTTTGAAACTCGAAGACTATCCAAACATCTATGTTCATCTATGCTGTAATATTACACAAGCTCAGCTTTTGTTTATTTTTAATATGACACACATTTACAAGCATCATAGAAGCTATTATTTTTCATTAAAATAAAAAAAAAATATATATATATATATATATATATATATATATATATTCCAAATAATAATAATAATAATAATAATAATAATAATAATAATAATAATAATTTTTATTTGAATAAATTTATTGTACAAAAATTAATTCTTTGTTTCTATAGTCTAATAGTTTTCTGTAGTCTAATCAATTACATTCAGAAAACATAAATCGTAACTTTGAATAATTTTATGCAATTTGCAGTTTTATTAATCGCAATTTAATCAATTATTCTTTACAATAAACAAGTAACAATTAATAGAGAGTGATTAATCTAACAGTACATAAATCACAATTGTGTGCGTAAGGCGATATGCTTTGAATCAATCGATTTTTGGAGAGGGAAAGAAAAAGGCGAGAAAAAAAAGTATCGGAGGAGTTTGCCTCTCTCCATTTCCTCTTTTCCACTTCCTGATCCCGGAGGCAGACGGCCGCGAGTCAACGTAGCTCGTTTTTCATTAATTGAAAGTAAACTTCAGGAAGGGAGAACTGGCCCAACGCTCGGGGGAATCTTTGAACAAAGTCATTCGAAGTGAGTTTTGAACTTGCATTTTGCCGCCAATCTCCAGCAGCTGGCTTGTATAATATAAGGATCTGCGAAGAGTTCCAAGTTAACGCACGAAGTCTGCCTTTCGCAATAAAAATCGTAATTGACGAAAATACCACAGAAAACGATTTATTTAGATGTATTCAAATGGGAAAACTTATTTCGCGTAGTATTATTTTTAAAATACATCGAATTTTCGTAAAATCATAAAAAAACGAGAGTTCCTTTGTATTGTTTGCAAAAGGAGCACACTGAATAAAATATCAATGAGTGTAAACAAAGTTGAGAAATTTGGGAATAGTAAATTTGCACAAAGATTTTAGGAAAACATTGCGAGAGGGATATCTTATATAAATCCTCGCAGTTTAACCGTGCTCAATATATACAAATTTGTAAAGAGATTTGAAGGAGCGACTTCAAGACACGATCATAAGATTATATCTACACAAAATTATAATAATTCGCGAACATATAATTTCGTTTAATAATATTTTAAGAAGGAAAGTGATTATTATTTACATAACATTTTTAACATAAAGTTTTGTAAATATTTGGCATAAAAAAATTATTAATCGACGTTGTGTTTTTTATGATTAAAATTAAGCAGATTTTGGGCTTTCCATCTGCGGTGCGCATAGAGTTGTAAAAAATTTCACTCGATTTATCGATTTATGATATTCAATGAGTTCAAACAAGAAGTTAATGTATGTTTTCTCGCTTGATTTTAGCGAAGGGATGACCACAGAATCCTTCTCGGTCAATAAAAGGGATTGTGTAACGCGACGAAGTAATTCGCTCGCGGATAAAGTGGATCACCGAGCATTGCCAATTTAGTGGATTTTCTCTCTTAGGATCTACCTCTACCATCCTGATCGTACAACGTTGACGAGGTTTTAATTACGCTAATTACTCGAACGACATGGCGGTCGGGCAGAACGTGTATCGTCGTGGGAAATGCCTGGGCTCTACGCGGAGCGTGTTAAAATAGATATTTACTGACCTGGATTTCGCCATTCCTCGACCTCGTAGTCGAAAGGTCGTTGTCGTGATTTCTTGTTACTGTTTCTACCTAAAATGCATTACACAAAGGCGGTTTTATACATTGTGCTCTATACGGTAAGCTGCCGCGGACGAGGGGTGAAAATGGATGGTTTTACTTAGGAATCGAGAAATAAGTGAATTCTGTCAGAAGCTTCGCTCGATCCTAAGGTAAAACGTTATTCGACCTTATTCGATATCCGCATTAGGCATTTCCGGTGGTTTAACGTAATGCTACATTATCGCTTAATTTAAATTTCACACATCGCATTTTTCTAACCGCTCTCCTACATTATCGTACATAAAATAAATACAAACACAATTTAAAGAGAAATTTATAAAATTTTTAGGTGGTTTTTATATAATTACCGTTCTTATGTGGTGACGTTGCATGATATGGCGACTGTGTCGTAGATGTGGTCGATGGAGCTGGAATTTCTGTGCGTCAAAACAAATAAGTAACATATTTCAATATGTAAATATACGTACACATAAGAATATTGCATTCAGGCGCTGACAGTTGTGAAACAATATTGAAGATGAACATAAGTATATTAGACGTTATGAGAGTGCGAAAGTTCGTGAAGTTTTACGATGAGTCTTCACAAGCATGCAAAGCTGAAAGACGCGTCGAAGCAGCCTACATGCAATTATTTTCGTCTACGTCGTCGCTTAAACTAAATAAAACTTTCCTTCTACCATTAGCATTGTCAAGAAGACAACGTATTTCAGGATAGCACGGCTCATCATCAAATTTCATGAACTTTCGCGCCTTATCGATCTTTTTTTTCTACTTTTTGTATATTATGTAAAATTAAAATTATTAAATCTAAAATTAGAATTTTTTCAACACGTTGAAATATTAATTTTCGTTTATATAATATATTGTAATATCTAAAGTATTTTACAATACAGCTTTTCATAGCTATACTTGTATGTCCAACACAAATTTAATAGGCAATTATAGTTAATGCTCGTGTAAGAAAAGGCTGTGCGGCTTTGCCTGTAACTCGTTAACGACAAAAGCTCAAATATTTTAAAGTAACTGACTATTGGAAACCAATTATTTTACCATTAGCGCGGACGTTGACTTCGAGTAACCAATCTTTAAATAAAATATAATTATATACTCATTCCACATTTTTCAACAGGCAATGCTGAATGTTTTCATTCTTTAAAGATGTATATATATATATATATATATATATATATATATTTTCATTGAATTTATTTCTTTCTTTACTTCTACTTGTACTAAATTAAATTACTATACATCGCTCTTATTATTATCGTTGTATAACTTACCATCTAGTTTAATGACGCCATCTGTCCCTCCAAGAGAATTTTGCGCGACACATTTATATGAACCAAAATCTTTCAAACTAACGTTTCTTATCTTTAACATCATATATTTGTTGTAACCGCTGTCGGTCGATATCGCCTCATACTTTTCGCCTGAAACAGAATTGCCTGTGCCAATAAAGCCAAGTTCTCCAACTTTCATTTTAAATTAGAATAGTAAAGTTATATGATAAAAATATCAACTATTTAGCATATTTCATCTATGTTGAGAACTTTCAATAATTTATTAATGTATTTAATTTTTATTAATTTTTTACTCACATATTTTACGAATAAACAAGATCTTGAAATATTATATGAGAAAAATTATATATAAAGCTTTTTTAAGTTACTGTTTTAAAATAAAATAAATATTTAAAATTTATTTATAAAGAGTGTATTTATAAGTTATATTATCTGTATATAATCTACTGTATTTTTATAAGTTATACTATCTTGTGTAATGATAGATATTTATATATATTATTGTAAAGAGGATAAATATTTTTATATATATTTTCATCATGTTAAAAAATCTGTCTTTTCTCATATTGCTATTTGTAACACACAAATTAGATGGAATGTATATTTAAAATTTGTCTTAACTAAAAAAAATCGAGGATTTTAAATATAGCAAATTTTATTAGAGAGACTTGCAATAATTGCGAAAGACATTTCATATCGAATTTTTAAAATTATCAGAGACTATCATATTGCAGAGATCCTGTCTTTTTTAACATTGTTAAATACCTAATACGGCAATAACAAATCGAAATAATAATATATATGTTATATTTTCTTGCATAAAAATTGGAAGATATTAAATATAGAAAATTCTCTATCAGAGAGACGTGCAATAATTGCGAAAGACATTTACATGTTTGATTTTTAAAATTATAACAGACTATCATATCACTGAGAATCTGTCCTTTTTAACATCGTTAAATGTATGATAATTACAAATCGAAATGATAATATATATGTTCAAAAAGTTATATTTTCTCGTAAAAAAATGAGGATCTTAAATATAATAAACTGTATCAAACATTGAACTCTAATACATACTGGAAACTATCAAGGAGTGGCCAAACTTGGAGAAAGGGACAATCATATGTCATATAAATATCTCTATCCTTGTTGCGATTTTCTGATTGATTAAAACCCTTCGATAAAACCCTTCTCCAAAAACATTGTTCAAAAAATGTTTCGAGAGAGTATTCAAAAAAAAATCTATAAATGATTCAACAATAGTTTCCTATGATTATATTCTTCTGTAAATAATTATTATTAATATTTATTGTGTCACATGGCATTAACAACATTGAAGTTAATTGAGGCAAATGTTTTTAGTAAAGGGTAATATATTAGAATGAGACAAGTGTATCTATACATTATTTGCTTCTCTCCAATCTTGGCCGTTCCCCACTTAAACAAAAGGATAGCCTGTTCCAATATATAATAAAGTTCAATGGTATCAAACATGCAACAATTGTAAAAGATATTTGAAAATCGGATTTTTAAAATTACCAGACACTATCATATCACCGCGTTCTGTTGTCCAATAATTTATAGAATTTGGATAAGCTTCAGTATGACATTCAAGTGTTACGTCTTGTCCAATATAAGCTCCTTCCAACTGATTTGGTATTGAAAGCATCGGTGGAACTGTAAATTAGAAATGTGAAATTCACATTAATGTGAATTATATAATAATAATATATTATTTACATAAACACATAATATATAAATTAATAATATTTTATAATATATTAATAATATGTTACATTTAATAACTACTATTAATGATATTTTCACATTTCCCATTATTTTTTCTTTTCATATATCAATATCATATAGAATAATATTAATTTATTTATTGCGTTATATTTTTGCCAATACAAGTAAGTATGAATGAGCGCGGGCATATATCACGTATTTCATATACTGAATGTGAAAAACAGAGATAATAATAAATATATATATATATATATATATATATATATATATATATGATTAATATTATACATCTGTGTGTGTGTGTATGTGTGTGATTAATATTTTAAATCGAAAATAATTAAACCAAAGACTAACATTATTCATAAGAAAATTTTCCTTTCCTTTTACATACGTATACTTTTATCTTACATATGTGCTTATTTTTATGTAAAATTACAAATTTAATATTAAGATAAAAGAAAAAAATAGGTCAATGAAAAAAATATCTTGCTAAAATCATATAAATCTATCATTTTCAATAAAGTAATAAAGAAAATTTGTACAAATATATAAAAGAAGTCTTTTTCAAGTTATTTTTAATGTAAAATTTCAAAAAATTTCAATGAAATGTTCGCGAAAAAGCGCAGTTAACACGCAATTTCCATTGCATGCAATAGCATACAATTACCCATTTTTGCGCCGGAGGTTGTTACGATTTAAAAGCACTATCTGAAAATAAGCATTTGCTTGCAGTTGCATGCAATGTAGACTGCATGTCAGCTTTATCGACTTCCACTATATTTTTGGAAGTGCAAAAGAATTCAGAACATAAAAAGATTGTTCTTATCTTTATATTTGTCAAGTTTTAATTTTTAAATTAAAAAATAATTTTAGAAATATCTTATATATATATATATATATATATATATATATATATATAAAATCATAAATTAAATTGATTATGGAAATATTGCTTTTAGTCGCAAATTTATTTATTAATATTCCTGTTAATTGTTTTTCAAAATGTGCAAAATTAATAAAATATTTTGAACGTTTTTTAATCAAATAAATATTTCTATATATAATTTGAATTTTTTCGTAAAGAATGATTTAGATGATTTTATGGTTATGTTGAATTTTTGATTCCGAAAAATACTTTTTTATTAATCGTATCATCAACTTATCTAATTAAAATCATTTTACTAATTAAAGGTTTAACATTTAGTATTTCTTTTAAAAGAAAACATTTTACATCAAGACTCTCGATTGATATTGGTGTATCATAAATGTGAGACCATGTCTTTTTCGATCGATATAGATATCCCAATATATCGTGTCATACTTTCGTCTTTTACGAACGAACGTAAATCACGATTTACTAGCAGCAGGTGCACTTTCGACAGAACTACGGAGGGTAGTTTTTCCACCTATCTCTTTTCCCCAACCATCGTGCTGAGCTATCGATAAATCTATAGACTGCAAGCAAGTATACACTTTGATTGCACATCATTCAATACATATTTTAGAAGTGTAATTCTTATCTATCAAACTTTAAATTGTATATGCGCGCGTGTTTAAAAAGATACTAATCACAAGATTTTGTATGTAATATTTAACTAAATATTAAAAATCAAGATCTTTTACGTAGCAAAAGATAAATGTGTGCGCACATTTAATTTTGCGCATTTTTATTTCACATTTTAATTTTACTTTAATAGGTGTTTAACTTTTTCATTATTTATTTTTTAAAGAGAAAACTCTTAATGTAAATTCTTTTCTTTTACGATTAACTGTCGTTGGAATAATTTAATCTATATATAAATCACACTAATTGCACACAATCTATAGTAATGACTGTCTCTGATGCACTGGAGATAAAATCGTTGAAAAAATTGTTTGATGATATATCTTTGTGATACACGATCAGCATTAATTCATGTCACGTGTTAGTAATACTCGCGTATTTATCATGCACTACGCGCATCATCAGATCAACATCCGCACGAGAATATATAGCACAATATGCCACACAATATTTACAAAAAATACAAAGAGAAAAGACTAGATTCGCAAGGGCAGTGTGTAACTGGTCAAAAAGTTGACGTGATTCGTGACCCTCATGCGAAATTGCTGTTCAAGGGTGGCTCGAATTCTTCGGACGATTATTAATATTTGTGCTTGCCCGCAGGGGGAAAGGTAGACACGTAGAAACGAGAAACTAATGTGCTAGAAAAGATGATGCGGAGACGCGTTTCGCACCCCAAACTGAGTAGAACCTGGGAATTATCGAAAGACGGGTGGCGTTGAAATGGCTGCGCGGGGATAAACGGACGTATATCGACCATATCTAGGTCAAGTAGCTATCCATAAATCGGTGGTTAAATGAGACGTTGAAAATCGACCTAATGCATGGCGCACCGCGAGGATGCTTTTACGGATGGGGAACAACGACTCTTCATCGAAAGTTGCAGCGGTGACAATGTGCTTCAAATATGTGTGGGTATATGATGTATATGTGCTGAATTTCCTCTTTTTCATATATTTTATATAAATAACTTTATATAAATAACTATATTTTTGGCTTATATCTCGCCAGATATTTTCTTTTGGATTTTATTGCAGCGAAATATGATTGAATCTATTTTACCATATATTTATATAAAATGAAAATATATATTATTTCTAATAAATATAAAAATGTATATTTTTAGTTTCTAAAAAAAACTTTATTTAGAATATAATCTTTTCTTATAAATAACATATTATATTGTAATGTGTGTATGTGTATTCTATTAAATTTAGATGCCATCAAATATAATAACAAAGCACTTTTGTAACACCTGTTAAAAATTTAATACAACATGCAAAGATGGCGCAACTTTGTCAGAAGATTAATAAAAAGCTTATGAGAAACAATATTAGCCTAGTTCATATATCAAAGAAAACTAGTAGCTTTATTTTCATTTCTAACGTTTATGAACTACGTCGAGTTTATTAAAAGTATAATATTTCCGACATCATACTTTACTACTTCCAGCGACCGGCATTTACTAAGTTACGCGCACCTTGCAATCGGGGAAGTATGATAAAAACGGGTTTCTCTCCATCATCCTTTCTTATCATCTTTTCTTGCACAGAAAAATACGCGGGTATTCTTACGCGACAATAGTCGTTTCTTCCTGAGTTTTATCCCACTCTTATCATAATACCAAAGTGCATAGTATTACGATGACAGCGTGGTTTTCGCTAATGGCATACATATACACGAAGGAATCGATGGTGTCAGTGTCAAATCCAGCGCTCAATAGAATAATATTGATGTAAAATCAATATAATCTAAAACGAATAAATTGTTGAATATCTGCAGATTGATATTTCACATTGTAAATATATGATAATAAAGAAATAATAAATGAAGTCATACAATTATTTTAGTATAATTAATTAATTATGTCACAACCAATATATAATTATAAATTTATGTCAGAATTAATATAACTATTAGTTATATTATTTATAGTTATATTAGAATATTAGTTATGATATATGTGTTTTTCAAAAGAGAGAGAATTAATATTAAATATATTAAATTATATCGAAACACGATAATTAAAAGAAAAAATACCTATGTTTTTAATTTCAACTTTTTGTTAAAATAATTTATTATATAATCGTATAATTTCCTATACATATATATAAAATCATATTTAATAAATTTGATACATATATTCAAATATATTATAAATATGTTATGTTTAAAATGTACATATATTCATTTACATGCAGACGTTTTAATCTATATTTGATTATCCGATGCGATCCTTCAAAGTTTCGATTGGCTCAGTTTCGATACTTGCGCTGGAAAATAATTTCCACAAACTTTTTCAATCAGAGAAATCAATATTAAAATCGCTGACTTTGTAAACTATTGGTTTTATCTGAATTCGTTAGGTTAATAGGCAGAAAGCTATTATTTTACGAATATTTTGAATTGTTTTTCTAATCTGTATATTTATATAAATATAAATTAAATTTTATTAAATTTTATTAAATTTTATTAAAAACTTTTCGCTTTATATCAATTTCTGTTTTTCTTTTTTTATCAAAAATTGTATCTGTGCGCAATTCTGGCTTTTATTAGAAATTACTATTCCATTATTTATGTTATGATTGTGCGTATTAAATTTTGCCAGATAATGTTTTAAAAAACATTTATACGTACGGATTTCTCTCCATCATTCTTTCTTATCATTTTTTATTGCACAAAAATATACGCGGATATTCTTACACGACAATAGTCGTTTCTTCTTGCGTTTTATTTCCTCTTATTACAATATCGAAGAGATAATATTACGATGACAGAATATAAGAATTCTTTGATAATGTGAAAATTAGTGACTTACATTGTACACGCAGCGAGACTCGCTTGCTCACCGATGGTGGAACACCGTTTGAAGCTATGCATAAATAAGCGCCCATATGAAGGCGGCTTATCTTCACGATATGCAACACTTCACCATCCACGACATTCACTGAAACATAAAATGTTCACATATATTAGCATATAAACTGCAAAAGCCTCAGGAAAATGTATTTATTATGCTATTTCAACACTTCAGTTTTTACTTCGTAAGATAAAATATTTGCAACTAAATTGTTATAAAAGAATACGGGTCATAAGTTCTATTACGAGAACTACAATAGCAATCAGTTAACAATCGAATTTTGAATTAAATGATACTTTTTAATTAAAACGTGTTTCGCGTTGTAAATAACAGATTGTTGAAAAATCCTCGTATCATATTCTGCGCAAAGTAATTATTGTAGAACGTATAATACAATTTGATAAATACACACGGCTCGTCGCAATTGTAATTCTTCTCACGAATTAATAAGCGCGTGGCGTGCCATGATAATATCAGAATTATTTCGAAACGCGCGGATATCGATAATGCCGACAAAGAAGGCAGCATGCACCATAGCATGGGGTGTTGAAAGCGCGATGCGCATATGCGTCGAAACTTTTATTGCATGTCGTGTGACAAAGAGCACTTTGCGCCTTTCCGGAGAGCTATTTGCATCTACGTTGCATTCATTTCTGGCATGTTGGTTGATATGACTGGCGCAGATCGCATAAAGTAGATAGATAGGGAGCAAATTAAACTCTACAAAGGCGGGAAGTAAAGATAAGTTACGCCGAAACTTCGTCACAAAAGTTGCTTAGATATTAAAGACTCGTATATGCTGATAATCACATTATTGGCATTGATTCTGTCGCCTACGAAACCTCAATTATAATGATATAAAGACAAAGTAGAAATGTAAATTATATATTATTTGCTAATAGACTACATATGCAAAATGTCTCAAAAATCATGTGTCTTTTTTTTTATTACAAGGTGATATACGATCAAACAAAAATTGCATTTATAAACATTTGTTGAAGTAATGTTTTTCGTATTACGTACGTATCATTGTGTATAGATAAAATGTGTGTATAAATGTGTAAATAAATTGTTATACTTTAATATTTCAGAAGATTACTCCGAAACTCCATTACTACGGCTCCTCGTGTAATTCATGTCATAAACGATAATATCATACGCAAACAAAACGTACGTTATAGCTCGATGTGCCTTTCCTGATTTCTAGAACGATTACACAGTCGACGTGTGTCGACCATTGGTAGTGTAAAGCAAATTGTCATATTAACGGAGAAACTGTTGTATTTGATGGAATGATCTACGTTATCTCGCTGTCGCCACTCAATGGATATTACATGTGCTATACATATTCTCTGCCTAGATATAGAAATCACCTGTGATTCGACAAATGTCTCGCATATCTTACTACACTTATATCGACCAAACTATCTTTTAGCAAAATATAGTAAGCTATTCTCATACAGCATAGAATATTACAGCTATAATATTCTGTACTCTATATAAATTAATATAATATATGTTATATATTTGTATACACACACATATATATAATTATTATATATTACATAAATGTATTATATTATAAAAATTTTTATATTTAAAAATAATACATTTATATAATATATAATAATAATTATATTAAATATATAATAATTAATCAAAAATAGATTAATGTAATATTAAAAATTAAATTAATTAATTTAATTTAATATATAAAAGTTTTTTCAAGTTACACTATGTATGCATGTCATGCAACTTTATTACATCAAATTATTTAGTTGAAACTCATATTCAACATTTCAAGAAAATGCATTTCAAGAAAATGTAAACGATATGTATCGCAATGAGAAAACCTATTTAAGGTTTTCTTGCAATAAAGTTAAAAGCATCGTGAATGGCAAGAAACTTTACGTTTATTTGACTTATATATATATATATATATATATATATATATATAAACAATAAGATATCATAAAAATATAAGATGCTATGAGTTAACACATTATGCGTTTCAGGATATTTGACGCATTTTCTTCCTTTTCTTATGGTTTCATTATTTAATGTCATTTAATTTTATCATTTATATCTTATTACACATTATTTAATCATGTTATTATATATGTGTCATAAAGGAAGTATTATAAGAATAGATAATGCTTTTTAAATTGGTAGTAGATATGATAATATCTGTAAATTTAGATACGCACACAAATAAACGCACGCATATATTATTGCGAAATGTTAACCACATTTGCATACTGCATTTATGCGTTCCCATGCGTAACAATTACAAGATATTAGCGTCAGGTCAGGTAAAATGAAAATTAAAAGCCATTGAATTCTCTCGGCCACGCAGCTGAAGATTTCGCTGTTGAAAGAAAACGCAACACATATACACGTGATGCGATGAAAGCAGTGAAAGGAATAAAGTTGTTACCCGGCCAGTAGTAGAACGCGAGAGGGTGCTGAATCCCTGGTAGCCGACCCCGTGCTACAAGCTACGCGGCAAACCTATCTATTGTTCCATAAACAATGCAGAGTACCGGGAGATTCTGCCAGCGGGTCGCACTTTCAGGGGGTTTTAATCAAGTAGTCCCGCAGGTCCTGTGTCGGAACTACCCGCTTACCGGTTTAGCGGAAACCTTTAAAACTTTCGGCTTAATGGGAAACCGCAATATGGCTCGGCCGGGCAGAATTTCACGGCGGACGAATGGTGAGACGGGGACGAACAAAGAGAACGTGGACAATTATTATTTTCGGGCACGCTCAAATTTTATTGTTTTCCGCGCGATCGAAGTGGCTCAATTTAACTGCGCAGGGATCCGTTATTTCACGGTAGAATGGCGATCGATACCAGCCAGTTAAGATTAGAACATAATATTATCATATCGCGTGAACTCACGCGTTGTCATGTCTCTCGCACACATTATAGCATAAATAGCACCATTAATCAAATTATCATCGATTCTTACGGGATTCTCATCTCTCATTTTTCCTATGATTTATATTCTTTTTGTTATTAATTTTTAATCGGCATTTTTTGCAATTTTCCTTTGAAAATATTACATAAATATTACATAAAATATTACATAAAATTGGAAATATTACATAAATTATTATGTCATGCATTTTCCTCAATTAAAATACTTCAGTTCTCCCTTGTCTACAATATATAATAACTTTTTTTAATTATTATGTCATTACAGAAAAATACTTGTTTAATATCAGTGTAAAAAGAGGGATATTTGGCACATATTAATATTATATACATTATTATATGTATATTGAAAATGTGTGCATAACATGACATGGCATGCGTCGATCTAAAAAGATTTCAACTCGTTCTCACTACAACAGTATTAAACTCGATTAAAATCGCTGTTAGTCGTCAGATTTGATGAAGCTTCAATACATTATATATACCAACAAAATGGTTTCTAAATCAAGCGATATTATAGATAGATTGCGCGTCTGCAAGTGACGTAAAATCTTTCAAAGCTCCGCCATTTTAAACTGCGAATGCACCAGAATGGTGGCACCGCGCACGTGGAAGAATTCCCGAAATAAATTAACGTCCGTTTGAGTCGATGCCACGTGCGCGCGCGCGTTCGCGACGTACTTTGCATAACGTCCCCCAGCGGCGTATTCTCAGCGGCGTAAAAATAAGCGAACAGCTTACTCGAAGACGAAGTGGTAGGTTGGCCACCTATTTGGGAATTAGTACGTGATGTATTCCGACCCATAAGCGAAGGATGGGTCGAAAATATTTCATCCCGTCCCCCTTTCTCGTAGCCTTAAGTGCCCTTTTTCGCGTTATAACCGTGAGATAACCCGGGTACATTCATTCCCAAGCGAAATCCTCGGCCAACGATTATTGCCGCTAATGCATCCGCGAATGTTAGACCAGACGTAAGTGATTTCCACTTATTTATTGCACTGGCCGTGAAGATGTTTTAACAAGTGTATTAAAGACAATGATCATAATAAATAGCGCAATTATGAAATATTAGAAGCAAATATAATAATTATATAATATAATAATATAATAATTTTAGTCGATATTTTTAAAATTTATATTTTTTGTTTTTGTTAAAAAAATTTTTAAATGCATGAAAGAATGTGTCAAACGCATTTTTTATTATATATAATTTGTTCTCTCATGGAGAATTCTCTTGATTTTTCAATGAAAAATAAAACGCGAATTTTTTGAGTGAATTCGCATATTATCATGTTTGTTTGTAAACAAACGTACATACATGATACATAAATGATATAAAGGGCAATATTTGAATATTTGATATAATTTTAATAAATACTTAAAAACATTTTATACTGGAAAAGACATAAATGTTGATAGAGAGATTGCAGAGAGAGAAAGAAAAAAGATTGAATTGAAATTGTATAAAAGACGATCGTGATGGAAAAATAAAGCCGCTCGTTACTGTTCGCATTCGTTCGCATTCAGGGAATATTAATGATCGATTGTCATGGACGATTGACGTCACCAGATTTGAAGGACAAATTACGTTTGCAGTGCAACATCGCGTAAAGCGAATGAAAGAGACGGGGCTATTATATTCTAGTTTCCAGTGAGAAATTTCTCAGATAATATTGACTCCGTGCTGAACGCTGACTTTACCAGCGGCTTGGAAGGCACAAAGGAACCTCAAACGGTAACGAGAAAACGTAACGTGCTTTCTCACCACAAGCAGTGGCGTACCACCGCCATCGGAACGTTCGATATCGGTTGGTATACGCATGTATGCGTGCGTGCGTGCGTGCGTGCGCGCGTGTGTGTGTATGATGCTTGCAAAATGAGTGCGAGAGTATAGCCGACTTTGCGTCGTGCTTTATACCCGATGCACATCGCCTCCTATTCTCCTATATACGCTCGTCTCTCGGCACACCGGTGGGAAACTCAGCTCGTTGTCAGTTTCGATTTTCCAGTCGCGTCGCGTTATGTCGGCCTCGCGTCGACAAGCCGTGGTCGCATTAACGGAGGAGCCTTGCCAGGATACTCGTGAGAGTATCGGTGACGAAAATACTCGAGACACCTCTCTCTCTTTCTCTCTCTATTTATCTATCTATATATTTTCCTTTATTTCCACTTTTTCATATAAACAAGTGGGTGAGAAGGGAGGCAGGTACGCGCGGTCTACAACTTTGCGTATATATATTTAACGGTTGATGAACAGTGCAAGAACTCGTGTACACACATATAATCACAGTTGCGCCGCTACATTGATCCGCGATAATCGTGTGGGTGTGTATAGTGAAGTGAGGATAGATAAGGTGGATGAGATAGTTGCGCCAGATAGTTGTTACACACATCTACACATGTATGAGTGCGAACGAGTTTAGAGTCGTTTGTACATCGAGGGGATGCACCAACCGATTCGACTGATACTGATGGCGAAGTGCACGGATGGACAGGATGGACAGACCAGTGCAGGTGGCGACCGAGGCAAGGCAAACTCGTATATCTGTGAAAAGGTGAGAGAAGCCAATCGCGTTTTCCGAGCACGAAGCGCGCGAAACGACATCGGCGAGTGTCGACGTATACGCGTTTCCATAACTATAGAAGACAGGGAGGTATCGCTTCCCTCCTATCCTTCTTTTAGGGCAAGTAAACCTCATTCCGTGGTATCGGAGTTGTTGCGAATGCGAATCCGCTCCTCCGCTCTCCGTAACCAGCCGCGTGCACCAATTCAGCCGAGTCTACCGAGTCTACCGGGACGTGGACATCGCTGGATTGCGACGTTATCGCTCTTATGAACGATCGTATTAAGGGCACGAGAGTAGCGCGACAATTCGTTTCCGCCATCCTCGTCGTTTATTTGCCCTTCGTGCCTCCCCGCCGCCGCCGGCGCTCTAATTTCCCGCCCGCGCCTTCCTTTATCTTCCCCCTTCATATCCCCCCGCCGTCGTCCTTCCGCACGATCAGTTCCGGCCTGTCCGCCGGAGGTAAATCTCCCTCGTACCTGCAGGTGCCTCGCACCACAATCAACTCCAACACCAGTGCACCATCCCCAACGACGGCACCTCGATGCGCCACGATAGTTTTGCTAAATTCGATTTGCTTTCTCATCTCTCTCGGCCATTCTTTTTCGGTTTCTTCGCTCCGAGACGAGGTGAGAGAGCGAGAGCTAGGATGGGCTAGGTATCCCCTCGACTCGAGAAGAAGCAAGGGAAGACAACCATCTATACTTTCTTCGAGGGTTAGAGGGTGTCTGGAGGCTATCAGGCGGGGAGTAATGGCGTTAGCCCATCCCTCGTGCCCCAGAGGCCAACACATCAGTTAGTAACGCGGTCGTACGGCTCGAACGCGCACCATATTCACCACCGCGATATTTCGTCCAATTACGCCGATAATCTGACGCTTCTCTCGAATGACGAATCGTCGGTGCGCCAGAAGGTATCTACCGATTGATATCGATTACACATCAATGTGTGACAATTTTACAGATTCATAATTGCAGATAAGAATCCATTTTTAAGAGTATTAAAGGAACCAGAAATTTCTGGTAAATTTTTCTGTATAAAATATTTTTTTACAGAAAAGTCGAGTTTTTAATATCGTAAAAATATCTTCTTAATGTTTAACTTTGTAGCAATAATAGTAGTGCATGATCCCCTTATTTTCTGATAATAATCACTTTAAAATCCACTTTAGGTCCTATTATATATAAGAAGTATCCCCTCCTTCCCTTAAATTTAATATCCCAACGAGAAGCATTTAAGAACTTGCGTGAACCTTTAAAGGTTAATAAAAATGTCACTTCAGAAAGTTTTCAAGCAGCTTAAAATGTGACAAATGATACACGTTATGATAGTTGAAAACTGAATCTTCTAAATAGAAAATAAAAATATTAGAAGAAATACAAAGTAGATGTTATTGGAAACGAGAAACACTTTATTTAAATAAATGATGTATGTAAGGACTTATCATAAATAAAATATTCATAACTTCTAAGAGATGTTAAACCCTTCAACACTCACGTGCTATATGTGCGCAAACATAAAAGTTTATTTAAAATTTTTTTAAGAAAGTAATGGTATAAAATGTCAACTTATGTAATTTTATTTACTATTTCAGTTATTATTTAAATTATTATTTTAGTTATTATATTATTTTATAAATTCTCTATAACTAGATGTTTTTAAAATAATAAATAAGAGTTTATTATATATACATTATACTTATGTATCTTTGAATGCATCGCAAAATAAAGCTCAAATGATTGCGGAAAGAGATGTTATTTTTTGCAATGCTAGGTTTACGTATTAATAAATAACATTTAAACATACGCTTTACCAAAATTAATGGTAGAAATTATTATTATATTCGTGAAATAAATTTGCCTTTAGGCAAATTAATCACTATACTTTATTAGGAAGTTATAAAGTGCACTTTCATTAATAATACTACAAAACCAATATTACATTTATATCGTTATGCATTATTTTTTAGACTACAATAAAGAAGAAAACACATAATTAAATAAACATAATCGTACTTTATACTTTTTTCTTTTTTACTATCGCATTAATTTCTATGTTTTTTAACATTTCTATTTTTACTAGAATTTAGTGCAGATTTGTAATAATAATAATAATATGTAATTTTTATGTAATAGACATTAGTGCAAATAACAATTGCGCTATATTCGTATAAAAAAATAAAGTATTTATATAAGTACAAAGTACTTATATAAGAAAAATTACAAAGTCATATAAAATAAAAAATGATATAAAATAAAGTTAGAATAATAATACAGTTAATAGCGATATTTTTCTTAAATATTTTGTCTCTAAAAGTATTATAGAAAAATTATTTTAATTATTATTAGTTTTATTTATCAATTAATTACAGCAGTAATACAAAATAAAATAACATAAATAAATATAGAAACAAAATTAATTTTATGGATTTATCAATAAATGTACATACTTATTAATACGGTTAATATTTATATTATATATAAGAAACTTCCCCTTAATCAGATGTATCGATTTTGACAATAAATTACGCACCACTTCGGTAGCAGATAATCAGTATATCAAGTTACGCTATTTTTCCATATCAGAACGCGACATCCATATTTATCAGTAACAATTTATACGGTCAGCTTAGTATAGGATAGTGGTTTACGATCTGACGGTTGACGATCCTCTCCGAACGTCGGCGTCGGTCTATGCCTGGAGGGCAATGAAAATTTAAATTAGCGTAGAAATTAAATCCAGCCTTTATTGAGAGGAAACCCTTCGGAATCTGCAGACGGTTTAACGTCTCACTTTCCTATATCCTAGTCAACGAGCAAAATTGTATTTTTATAATTAGTCATCAAGAGGATAATTATAGTATCGATTGACATGACTAAAGAAGTAAACGTGTTTTTCATATGTCATATGTCATATGGTTATTTTCACAAGATTAGAACGACAAGAATATCTCGCACCTGCACTTATTGATCTATTATTTATGCCGGAGTCATATAATTATCAGCGGAAACTAACATAATTGATCAATGAATTCTTCGTTTATTTTTCGCGCTTAAATTAAAACATACACGCGCGGCATATTTTTTAGAGCTTTAATTAATTATAATATATAAATATCATTCCGCTGTCAGTATGATAAAAATACATCTTGCTCGACTTGCTAAAAAAGTCGAGATAAAATGATATAAATAGAGAAGTTCAATATGAAGTAAAAAATTTTATATATTTGCAGACATCGAAGAAATTTTTCTCGCGTACTTAGAGCTATAGAGATATATCTCCATATATCTCTATATATTGATTTCAACACCTAGTTACAAACTGCAATTGCACTCTTGGACATATTACAGTACAGTTTGGTGATATACAGTGGTTATATCACGCATCTGAATAATTGCGTTCTGGCCATGGTTTACTCGACCAAATTTTGATGTCGAACCAGGAGAGAAATTATTCGATCATTATAGCGCAACGCTACTGGATGAATGATACCGATTTAGATTTTATAGTTGTATATGTTTTCTCGTACATAAAATTGTATTATCTATGAATAAAAAATATATAACCTCCCATAATATTACTAATAATATAAACAACTTCATATTTTAGCAAAAATAAAGTATAAGAAGTGAAAAATAAAATTAATTAGTGGTAATCGTGGTATATAATTGATACAAATATATAATATAGTTGAATTCGATATTGGAAAATGGATAAAATATCCCACATTATGCAGAATAAATTTAATTATCACGATATTTTCTGTTAACTATCATATTGTTTTATATTCAAGCTTTATTGTGCCTATTATTTTACGATTCCACTTATCCTTTTGATTTCAGTTATATTGTTAAAAGAATACAACAAATGCAACTTTAAAATAAAGTAATAGTCATATAATAATAATCTTATTGAATCTTAAACTCAAAAGTTGCTAAAATTGTATGTTATTTGAGATATTTTATTTTCAGAATATCGAGATATGCTATTTCGCGGCAAACTCGCGGAGACCAGAGATAATTAATGAACTTTTAAGCTTAATACTTGTAATATGATAATTTATAATCGTATCGTCATTAGTCAGAAATGCAACTTACAACTAAGCTGCAAATGCGATGATATTTTGAACAAGAATAGTAATCTAGCATCGAACAGTATCAGTATTATTAATTATTTGACTGCGATATCGATCAGCACATTTCTCGATAATATTACGAAAGCCTATTTAGGCTGCGTTAATCTCCGAATATTATCGTTTATATCCGTTCGATTATTCATATAAATCACAGTGAGTTGTAATTGAGACTCACCACTTTCGCCATTATAATTTATGTTCTTGCCATCCTCCCGTCGCCACATGACGTAAGGCTCCGGATATCCGGTCGCTTTGCACGTCAACGTCACGTTGGAAGCTTCGCGGACCACCATGTCAGTGCTGGTCTCTTTAGTAATAATCGACGGTGGTACTGCGACATAAATGTTAGAAAAATTTTACTTCTAAGATGATTATATTTATGCGCATTTTATTTGAATTTTTGAGATGCTTATAATCACTGATTTATATATTCAAGATGTGTAGTTTTTTAAAAGATTGTAATAAATACAAGTAATTTTGAGTGTAAATATACGTATATCGGAGAAGATTTTATTTAAATTATTACTCACCTACAACTTGTACATAGCCCTGACGACTTTTCATTGGATCCGTGTTCACCTGGCACATGTACCATCCACGATCGACTTCCTGTACGTCCTTTATGTGAAGGTACCACGAGCGGTGATCATTGTATGTTAGCAAAATTCGTGGATTCTGAGTAATTACATTCTGATGAATCGATAATATAGTTTGTGTGTCAACCCGCACCCACGCCACCTAAAACAAAAATCACAGAATGATTGCAGTTTTCTTAAATACTATTTTTCACGCTTTGACTTAATTATCAAAATATTGCACAATTTAATTTACAAATTAAGGATTTGTATCTATTAAGGTTTTGTACTTATTTTCAAAATATTGAGAATTTCATGAAAATTCTACAGAATGTCCTTACATATGTTTAGAATCTTCAGTACAATTTTTAAATCGATTCACTGAAGCGTTCACAAGTTATAAGGATTTTAATTTGCACCGAATTAACATGTGTTCTTATGGGAAACCACGTCGATTCAAATGACAAAAACACATGGAAATAATATTCAGAATTTGTTTAAAATTTGCAAAAGTTTAGATACAGAGGAAATATTTGGTCAAATAATATTATACGAGTACTAACTGGTTAAAAAGATATTAAATATAGTTTAATGAAGTTAGCCATGTATCTGTCGCAAGGCGAAATTCTCTGCCAAAAGTTGTTAATCATTTCGATTAAAAAAATTCGGAATATTTCAGTAAAACCGCAATAAATATTAAAAAATACATTGCACTGTTACTAAGATCAAATTGTAATATTCCACACAATTTCTCATCTTCAAAATACAACAAATGTGGATATTCGTCAATATTGATTTTCAGCTACTTTTTGCTGGGATTGTACATACAAAACATCCTTAAACTATGAGCTCATTTTAATTGAAATACATATGTGTGTTGCAGATTTTTCGAAAATAATGTGTTCCACGATTAATGTTACATAGATTCAATTATGAAGTATCTTTTATAGGATCTTGAAGCCCGTATAACATACAATATATCTTTTCTTATCAACGAATTTTAGGACAAAGTCTGATGATTCTATGTCTCCTTTTATTGATAGTTCTCCTTCTTTTTCTTCTTACTTCAATAATCGAGTAAGATTATATAACATTTTCCGACTTCTACATGGATCTTGAAGAACTGACAGAGACTTAGAACTACTTACTCTTCTTCCTACCACTGACTCTGGCACATTTCCGTCGTTGAGTTTCCGATATAGGCAAGAGGTTTCTTGAACATGCAAAACATGCCTGAAGTCTTGCGAATTCTACAGTATAATTTCCACCGCAAGTGCAACTCGAGTATGTTTCGTGTTTCCAGTACTACGACTGGAGAGTATCGCTTGTAGAAAAGATCAGCTCACTCTCTCGCGCGAATATTTTAGCTTTCTATATTTATATATATATGTATTTATATACGCACAACTAAGGATAATATGAAGACATCTGAATACATACTTGTACGCTCACGCTTATGCAAATTTCTCAGTATTATTTTTTATTATAATATTAATTTAACTTGATACAAGCTTCAATTCTTATTAACGTAATGAATAATGATTTATAAATTTGACATTGTTACAATCTTAAATAAGATATGAAATATTGAACAATATACATATTTATATAAGAAGAATTAAGCATATGTAGATAATTTAAGACTGAAAAAATTTAACAATTAAATTAAACAATTTGAGATAAAGATATTTTAAATATTTTTGTTTTTTGAAATGAAAATAAAATTAAATGAAAATAAAATGCTCATCTTTTAAAACGATATTAACGATAATACAAAGAAAGAATATTTTTCACATTCACTTTATATAAGTTATGTATAAATATACTTATCTATTAAGTTTATATAAGTTAATATTTTATAACAATACACATATGTTTAACATATGTATACATACATTTTATGGACATTCTTAATTAAATTTCAAATTCAATATTTAGAAAAGAGAAGAATATTTATATTTAATTTATATCTAAACAAATAGTATATTAAATTATATTATAAACTTAAAAATTTCGAGCTCTTTGATGTCGAAAAATATTTAACTTCTCTGTATATTTAACTTCTCTGTAATAAAAAAGTTTTTCGATTAAAAAAAATGAATGAGTATAAGAATCAAAATGCTGTCGAGAGAAAATTTTTGAATGCGAAATATGCTTTCTCCTCGGAATGCACGGTGAATACCGGGAGCACGAAAACTCGTCGAACGATGAGGATATAAATCTTTCAGCTCTCATTAAATTTTCAAGCGACGAATGGCGAATACCTTGCAGATTATATTATATATAGCGAAGAACATTCTTGAAATACGCTTAAAGGAAATGTATGAATTTAATTTAACTCCTTTAATAAGAAATGAAGAAATCCGCGATATGACGCGATAAGAGAGCGAAGGCAAAAAAATAGAGTTAGTTGGCTTACGAAACATGGAATAATTTATAAACTTCGACTTGATTCTCGGATCACCATCTTGAGAAAGAAGGAAAGGTGTTATTAGCTTACGCCCTCTTTTCCCTGCGAACTACATTGTATCCAGTAAGTGTTGTCGCTACTCAGCAGAACGAATTGTATCCCATTGTTACGTCATCTCAATTAACTGAAGGAAAATGAAGCAATTATGCAAGGCCTTTGATAACGGTACGTAAACTAGGACCGTCCAATTCGCAGTCTACGGACCATAAACGCCGTAGGGATTTCAGCAGATATTATCTTCGTTTAATTTGTGCAAGCGCTTCTCTACAAAACGGCAAGAAAACTTCGAATCTTACTCGATGGCAATTTGCACGAAAGTACTATCTTAGAGTTGACATTGCGCATTGTTTATTTTTACATATTAGTCATATTATTTATGTTAATATGCAGCAAATAACACGCATTAATTACGTTTTTATATGAGATATCTATCTTAATATTATAGCAGATCTTTCTCTTATTTCACACCTATAATATTTTTATCTGCACTTTTATTTTGCGTCCGACACGAATTCAGTAAAAATTAATGTAAAGAATAAAAAATAGAGTTCAGAAGAATGGAGACTGACATTTTCGATTATAACCATAGTAATATGTATATATATAGATATGTGACCTCAATTTTTCTGAATGTTTCAATCGATAGACCAAATTCAACTCGGCGAGAACACGAATAATTATACGATAACGTTTCATATAAAATTCAACACACGTTCAACGAAAAAACGAAGAGAGGTAATAGTTCAAGCATATCGCCTTATAATATCAAAAGCTTTTTCATAAAATTTTTGAATAGTTTAAATCAATGAATATATAGTGCAAAAACAATTTTGGTAATTATGCGACGAAAATATCTTACATAACATTTGACATACATGAAATAATAAAGAAGAAATGAGTTAATTTAAAGTACCTTATAATGTCGTAGGTTATCCACCACACAAGCAAGCAGAGCATCACGTCCCACGCTCACTGTCACATTTTGGATTTCCTCGGCGAATCGAGGTAATTCGGCTTCTGTAATGACAATGTAAACATTTTATAAGACAATGAAATAGAGAATAAATTTATAAAATAATACAAGAATTTTAAAACAATATTTATCTTTCTATTTTTTGCATCTTTTCTATGTTTACATTTCTATGTTTTCATTAATTATATCTAATATAGAGACATTATGTTATAAATTCTGTCAGATTTTTAGAGTCACATGCAAGGAATATGGACATTTAAAAAAAAAACTTAATTCTTAAAAGTCTTAAATTAACTTGCGGCGGATTTATTAATGATAAGTTTAATAGAAGTAAGTAATTTGCTGTTCCAGAATTATATCGCCTACGTATTGTTTGCATATTTGTGTATAAAAGTAAAAAATATTTTTAATTAAGAAAATTAACGTACTGGTGCTACAGTATCTGTTTATCATAATCTGTTAAATTATTGTTGTGCCTCGGTTATAAACATTAATCTTTTTCTGAAATTTAGGAAATTCAGCGTAAATTCATTAGTAAATAAGCTTCTATTATTCTTTTATTATTCATTCATATTTTTCATGCGTTACTTTGTGGAAACAATTAATATTCATTGCTGAATGTGTAATTGCGAGATAAAACATTAATTATGAAAAAATTTAAACAGATATTATTGAAACGAATAAAAAAATAATTTTCTTTTAAATTTTCGTGACTTATTTTTCATAAGAACGGCTTATTTTTTATAATTATTATTACTATCTTATAGATTAATCTTTGACAATTTTTTAAATTATTGTGTAATGTTTCTTCATCAAAATTTTGTTGAAGACACTGAATGACATTGACACATCATTGCTAATATATATTATTTGTATTAGATTAAGATCTCTGATGCAATTTTATTCAGAAGGAATGGGTAAGAATATTACATCATCAATAATTGTTCATATGATACCACTCACGTTAATAAATGTTCCTTTCTGTTACGCGCCATGCGTCTGATCAAGATAAATCTGTCGCAAGCTCTAAGCACTTGATTAATCACTTCGACTATTATTCACTTATGTATGTTTGATGCTGGCACGCCCGCACGTATGTCTAGACAATACATCGTCCGACCTGATTGCGGAGTTATTATCGTTAGAGTGATACAACGAATTGAGAATTCAGGCCGGTCTCCCTTAAAAGCTTTTATCTTCGTTAATGTCTTTACGATGTCCCGAGCATCTGAATTATTTATGGGCACAAAGAACTCGCGGAGAACGGGAAACAGAAGGATAGAAGGAAGAAAGCAAAATCAGGGGAAGGGAGGGAGAGACAAAATATCGTAAAAGGAAGAGAGCGAAAGATAGAACAGGGAGACAAGCTTCGAGATAAGTTTGAGTTACTTTTAAGTCTTTTAAGCGCGACAGCTCGGATACAGGACAGCGTTAATTACGCCCCCAAGTGCTTTATTATAAAACACTTCGCAGTGTTAATTGTCGCGCCTACGGCGACAGAGGATGAAAAAACGAGTAATGCGCTTGGAGCAACTCGAAATTCATTGCCGCAATAAAATGTCGGAATAAATGGTTTTGTAAATTCCATTCTCCTTCTCTCCTTCTCTTTCTCTCTCTCTTTCTCTTTCTCTCTGTTTCTCTCTCTCTCTCTTTTTCTCTCCCTTTCGCTTTCTCTCTCTCTGTCTTATTCTCTTTACTAAAGTTAAGATGAGGATTATACTGCACATCGGGGAGATAAGATTGGAAACTTTTAATATGGTCTAAAATTTTTCCATCTTGGATCATTATTGAAAGATATTTTTCTCAGTTCAATAAGTAGTAATTAAACTCTTAAATTTCATTCCTGAATTTCTTTAACGATATTCGAAACTTATGATCAAAATAAATAAGCTTGTTATCTTGTTTGATTGGCAATAACATATACTTCTCTTAGCTTTAATATGTTAAATTTTATATATCAACGAAATATATTATCGTCATAACACCGATGGCCGTTACAGTATTCAACGTGTTAATGATAATGAGAGTGAAAATCGAGTGAAACTGTTGGAATTCGCAAGCACGTCCTCCGAAAGTCGTTATCAAACTGATTAACAAGCTTTGATTAAGGTAAACCCATGTGTCGGTATAGCACGGAGCGCTTAATAACATGACTCAGCTTCGCACGAAAGACACAATACATTACATACTAGATATATCGTGAATTTCGTGCATAACAGTCCGCAGTTAATGAATATGAATTTCTGCTATTGCACGTACCCGGGAACAGCTTTGAAATAGGTATTTAATAGAAGCACGCTCGCATACTCATAATTATGTAAATAACAATAATTATACAATGCGTAAGAGCTTTAAAATGCGAGAGATATTTATTATATCTTGTGCGATTTTAAAATATTTTTATAATCATACGTAACACGTAAGTTTCAAATATGAAATGTTTGGTGATGTAAATTATCTAATTTATTATAATGTATTTTACTAAGAGAGGATATATATATATGTATGATTTACACAAGATTACATAAATATTTATATATTTTAAGAGTATTTCCCTAAAACGAAGAAATGCTCCACGACTAACAGATTAAACTTGAAAATTCTATCAGTGATAACTGCGATAAGGAACGTCGCTTTTAATCCGCGATGTTCACGTCCCATCTCTCGCTCGACATTATCGTACATATCACAGGGAAAATCGCGTTTTCGTATTTCAAGAGTTCCGATTCAAAGACGGCCTTATTTTCTCGTTAAAGAACGATTTAACGAGAAACGAAATTAAGGGTCGCGCTTCTTGCCTCAGAGGCGAGCCCCTGCGTCTGTCTATCCACTTTTCTACGGCGCACTTTGGTGTTTTCTTAGCACACTTCATCACCTTTAACCACGTCGGAAACCGCAATAGCGTTTGGCAGCAGACTTTGGTGCCAAAGGTGATTCAATGGTTTCTCATTAAGTTTCTGTCTTACTTTGTCTGCCTCCTTGCTTTTTGTTTTATTGCCGCAGTTTACGCAATAATCATTACACTGCGACAGACGCAAAAAAAGAAACGGACTTCGCATAACATGTGAAACTCCATTGTTATCCAATTTTATCATAACAAATTAGATTTTTCTTGCATTATACTGAACATTATCATATTGCAAAGAATATAACGAGTAATGTATTTTTACTATAACATCACACACATATATACAACTGAGTTTCAAGCAAAATTTTTCAAACTTTTGCAAACTTCATCCTCGTTATCTTGTTACGTGTTTTGTGATCTTTGTAACAACGTTTAAAATTATTTAATTTTAAACTATTTTAAGTTTATATATATAAATTATTTTAATTTTCCAAATCAAGTAATATCGAAAAATCGATTATTTCTCAAATATTAATAAAAAATATTTCATTATTATATATACAGAGTGTTTCCGCAACATACACATCATTAAGTCGGGATGCCCATCGTCAAGGATATACTTTATTAGACTCGCTGAATAAGAGAGTTAGAATGCGAGTTCAACGGGCAGTAAAGAAAGGGAAATCTTATCTTTTTATTATAATAAATAATTGCAAAATTTAATAATATAGATAAAATATATATTTAATAATACATATATATAAGGTAATAATAATATATATAAAATATTCAATTCTAATAAATTAACAAATTTATTTAATAACACATTATAAAATTTAATTATAACATTTAATAATAAATATTAATATATATTAACATGTATTAATAACATAAATTTAATAAATAAATTTGAACAAATATAGTAAAAAATATAATAAACAAATATAAATATACTTATAATAACAAATATTTTTGATCTTTAAATGTAATAAATTATAATAAATGTTCAATATAACCACCATCTTCTTCTAAACATAAAGCAATTTTGCGCATGAAATTTTCTTTCACGCGACTTATTATGAGAGAAGTGATATCCGCACATGCGTTATGAATTCTATTTTTAAGAATTTCTACATTTTCCAGCAGGTGTAATATATTTTTAAGATGTTCCACATAAAAAAGACCAGAGGCATAAGATGTGCGGAGATCACTCTTCTGATAAAACAAATGAGAGACATTTTCAGCAGGATTGCTCTATGTTTAAAAGAAAATAATAATTATCGATAATGATATCGAGTTTTTAATTTATTATATTTATTATATTTAATATTATAATAATTTATTATATTTAAAAATCAAATATATTTTTCATTATAAATATTTTTCATTATGTTTGTCCAAATTTGTTTATTAAATTTTATTTATGTTATTTTATCTATTATTATTTTATTTATTATTAGATAAATATTTTATTTATATTATTAAATTTCACAACTGTTCATTATAATAGAGTGATAAAACAGATTTCTTTTTCCTTATTCCCATTTTGATCTTATTCCGCGAGTTCAGTAAAGCATGCCTCTGACTGGACAGATAAGCAACCCGACTTAATGATGTGTATATTGCGGAAACACCCTGTACATACTATATTTTTCAACACACCCAAATTTAAAAATAAAAATAAAAAGAGAAGGATATTTGTAGCAAACTCAGATTTAAACAGAGTTACGTTTATATTATAATATTGCCCTTTTTTCCGTGTAAAGACGCGAACATAGTCTCAATACACGTAGAGAGATTGTAAAACAAATATTCTGTTATATTATATACGCGCGTTATGCAACGGTTCCGTTGTAGGATACGATTGCGCGAATAGGTACGATAACTTTTATTGTGCAAACTATCATAAATTCCCGCAAAATTTCATTTCCAAACTACATCTCACTTCTCGGCTGTATCTGCATTTTGCAGCGAACCGCGACGGAGAATCGCGGGTGAATCGAGCACTGAGAGCAAAACTATTTCGTCGAGGCGTGCGGGAAGAAGTTAACAGTTGGACCGGCCATTTCCGCTAGGTATTTCGATCAAGCAAGATCTTACGCGAGATTGCCGATTGTTCTATGCGCTATTTCAGACGGTTGTCGTGGGCGAGGGGGGAACCTCCCCCATTGAGAATGCGCGACATTCGAGAAACAG